AATCTCTTCTGGGAATTGGCCATAATGGACAAAAGTCTACATGTTTTGGCTTGAAACAGAGGTTAATGATTCTCAGAGTGACTTTGTTCATACACTCAGATCAAGCACTGGCCATAGGATTTGCTACTCTCTGTGCTTGGGGAATTCAGGAGCAATGCCACCAGCAAGCCTAGACCTACATCCTAGAAGTGTAAACACACCAAGATAAACATGAATGACTACACAGGCTTGACCATATTCATTTTTGCAGAAAATTAGATTTAAGGTTGAATGCTCTGCTTTACATGTGTATTTTTCCTTTTCCCAAAAGAGTTATAAAGTTCTTACCATTTATATGGATAAAATTTGGTGGGAAGATACATTTTCACATAAACTAATAATAAATGTTTAAATAACAATAACTTTCTGATAAGTACCACGTAAGCTGTACAGAGATAAGAGTGTTGTTGTTGCTGTCATTATTTAATGGCAGTGAGCATAGATGATTAAGTTTTAGCATTAATGAAGGCCCTTAAGGACCAGGGACTTTCTAGGAGAGGCATGGGATGAATCACCATGATTGTTGTTCCCTTAGAAATGTATATAGCTGAAACTGGTTTGGCTCAGTGGATAGAGCGTTGGCCTGCAGACTGAAGGGTCCCGGGTTCAATTCTGGTCAAGGGCAAGTATTTTGGTTGTGGGCACATCCCCAGTATGGGATGTGATCGATGTTTCTCTCTCATTGATGTTTCTGGCTCTCTAGCTCTCTCCCTTTCTCTCTGTAAAGAATCAATGAAATATATTTAAAAAAAAGAAATGTATATAAAATCTGGCACTTCCATAATAACTTATTACTTATCTTTTCACAGAATCTTCAGTCTTTCAGGCAAAGTATTTAAAGTCAGTAGAAATCAAAATAGGGATAGTCAAATCATGACATAGAAAAGCAACATTGTTAGGAGAAATCCAGTAAAAAGTGGTCTGCTAAGTTGTCCAGCCTGGGATGGTTTATATTAGAACAATGTACAAAAACTTGATATTAGGCCTAGCAATAAAAAGTTGGCTTACCTGGAGCAAATTTCCATCAATATAGTATAAATAAAAGATTTGTTACTGAAATCTGTGGATGTCTACAAAATTTACCTTATTCTCTTGACAGTGAAACATAATGGGGTTTGTCAATATCCATAAATATTTTTACATGGCTTAATATTCTTATTGGAGAAGGCTAAGGGGTGAGAGAAGAAACATAAAATAAGGCAAATGTGATCTGGTTTTCAGTAAATACGTAAAAAGTCAGATTTCCTTTATAAGAATTGCATATCAAGAAAATAAATACACATTTCTTGTATGCCTCTTGTGTATGATTCAAAGGTTAATAAAATACTGTCTTTATTCTCTCTATAAAAACATCACTCCAATATAGGAAGTGGTCCTTTTTGTTAACCACAATCTGAACTTTTTACCTGAGAAGCAAACACAGAGCTAGATGGATAGGTTTTTATTAGTTGAAGAGGCCAATGGAAGACTTGGCATGAGATTTATGAGGTTTGCCTAGCCTACTATCATTTGAACTATCTGCTTTGGCAAAAAGCTGTTTTTACTTATTGTCCTTAACTAGATGGCAGTTTCATTTTCAACTCAGCTAGATAACCAAGTGACTTGCTTTAAGGCGTGAGATGGATCTAACTCATTTCCTTACATTTTGATGTTATATGTATATGATAGCCTTCTCATTTTTTAGCTGTTTCATATAAATCATTCAAATAGGTATTTTACAATGTTTATTTTGAAAATTAGTCTTACAGAGCAATTGTATAGGTGGCACAGAGAGCTCCCACACATTCCTTGCCCAGTTTCTCCCAATGTTAACACCTTACATAACTATGGTACAATGATTTTAAAATTAAAAAAAATTAACCTTAGTATACCATCATTAACTAACTTACAGATCTTACTCAGATTTTTCCAGTTATCGCACTAATATCTGTTTCAGGATCCAATCCAAGATCCTACATGAATGTAGTTGTCACGTCCCCTTAAGCCCTCTTCAATTCATTCCTTGAATGGGGTGTTATGAGTTGAACTGTGTTCTCCAAAAACCCACATGTTGAAGTCCTAGCCCCTACTGTTTCATAATGTGACTTTGGAGTTAGGGTCTTTACAGAGGTAATCAAGTTAAGGCCCCGTAGAATGGGCTCTACTTCAATATGTCAACAGGACATTTGGACCCAGATGCATGCACAGAGAGAAGATGCTGTGAAGATGCAGGAGAGATGCCTGGAACACATTCTTCCCTCACAGCCCTCACAGAACCAATATTGCTGACACCTTGATCTGGGGCTTCCAGCCTCCAGAATCATGAGGTAATCAATTTCTGTTGTTTAAACCACTCAATTTATGGTACTTGATTGACATCCTTAGCAAACTAATGTACTCAATCTTTCTTTATCTTTCAATGTATTGACACTCTTTTAAAAAAGTGACTCAATGGATGTCCTAGCTAGTGACATAATTAAACTGCTATTATACTACCAATTTTAAGAGCATGTATTATGTGCTTACTGAGGTCACTTTCTTGGAGCTGCTATTGCCTGTGTCACTGTTAATATGTTCTAAACAGGACTTACTATGTGCCTAGCATTGGCTCTGGCTTTACCATTTAATTCTCTCCATATCCTTTTGAGGTAGGTACTGGAGAAATTGTCTTATCTAGAATGGATATCTAGTCATATAATTGAAAAAGTCAATGAAGGCAGGAAATCACACAAAATATATACACCTTAAACATTTTTCTTCTTTGTTTCCCTTCCTTTTGCCTGGCTCAGAAAGCTAATCTCATTTTATTTTATTATTCATTTTGATTACTTTTTCTTTTTACCACCATCACCCTCTGGTAACCAGCAACTTGTTCTCTGTGGTGTGTGTGTGTGTGTGTGTGTGTGTGTGTGTTTAGATTCCACATATAAGAGATCATATTTATCTTTCAAGATCCATCTATGCTATTTCAAGTTAAAAGATTTCATTATTTTTTATGGCTGAACAATATTTCATTATATATAGAGAGAGGCCTGGTGCACGAAATTCAGCTCAGTCTGCACCCTCTCCAATCTGGGACCTCTCTGGGGGTGTCCAACTACACTGCAGGTTTAGGCCTGATCCTGCAGGGCCTAAACCTGTAGTCAACATCTCTCTCACAATCCAGGACTGCTGGCTCCTAACCACTCACCTACCTGGCTGCCTGATTGCCCTTAATAACTCTGCCTGCCAGCCTGATAGCCTCCTAACTGCTCCCCTGCCAGCCTGATTGACACCTAACTGCTCCCCTGCCTGCTCGATCACCCCCAATTGCCCTCCCCTGCAGGTCTTGTCCTCCCCCCCACCCCCAACTACCCTCCCCGGCAGGTCATCTTGTGATGCGAGGGTGTGAGAGTCAATTTTCATATTACCTTTTATTATATAGGATAATTGGATTGTTTTTCAATATATGGTGAGCTGCATATAAAAAGGAATATTATATATATGCATTGTTATTTATTTTAAAAAATGTATATATTTTTATTTCATAGAGGAAGCAACAGGGAAAGATAGAAACATCAATGATGACAGAGAATCATTGATTGGCTACCTCCTGAATGCCCCCAACTGGGGATCAAGCCTACCACCTGGGCATGTGCCCTGACCAGGAATCGAACCATAATATCCTGGTTCATAGGTCAATGCTCAACCACTGAGATATAGTGGCTAGGCAACACTGTAATTTCTTAATCCATTTATACATTGATAGACACTTAAGTTCTTTCCACATGTTTTCTTCAGATAAATACTCAGAAGTGGACTTTCTGGTAGTTCTATGTTTAAGTTTTTGAGGACCCTCCATGTTTTCCATATTGGCTGCATCAACTTACGTACATTTCCACCACCAGTGCACAAGAGTCTTCTTTTCTTCATATCCTTTCCAACAATTGCTATCTTTTGTCATTTTGGTAATAGCCATTCTAACAGGTGTGAAATAATATTTGTGGCTTTGATTTACATTTCCCTGATGATTAGTGGTGTGAGGATCTTTTCACGTACCTGTTGGCCATCTTCATGTCTTCTTTAGAAAGATATCTATTTGAATCATCTGCTCATTTTTAATTGGATTGGTTCATTATATTTTTTGCTATTGATTTGCATAAATTCTTTATGTATTTTGGTTATTAGCCCCTTATCAGATATATAATGTTTTTATAAATAATAAAATAGAAAATTTATTTAGGTTAATAGAAAAATCACCATTACAATATTAAAGTAATAATTGCTGCAAACATAACCTAGGAGTTTTATAGTTTCAGATCTTATATTCAAGTCTTTAATCCACTTTAGTTGATATCTGTATATAGTGTAAGAGAGGGGTCCAGTATCGTTCTTTTTTACATGGATTTTAGTTGTATTAGAATCATTGTGGGATGGATTATTCTTTCCTCTTTGAATGAGGTTGGCACCCTTATAAAAAATTAGTTGACCATAGATGATGGGTTTATTTTTAAACTCTCAACTCTATTCCATGGTCTATATGTCTATCCTTAAGCCAGTACTACACTGTTTTGATTACTTTAACTTTGTAGTAAGTTTTAAAAATAGAGATTTATTTTCAAGATTGTTTGGTCATTTGAGTCCCCTTGGAATTCATATGAATTTGATGATTGGCTTTTCCATTTCTGCACACACACAAATGGATATGGGATATCTTTTTATATATTTAGGCCTTTTAAGATACTTCTTGATACTTTTTAGTAAAATACTAATTCAGGCAGAGCTATCTGATTCTTTCTAAAATTTCTAAAGAATACATGAGAAAAAGTCCCAAATGTTGAATGATTACATTGAAACACATTTCCCTGCAATTCACAAAGCATCACTTTATTTCCATATAAATAACAGTCACTGATGCAGGGAAAAAACAAAATCATGACTGCCAATATTTACTTAGGAAACCGTTTTTATAGAATACAGATGGAAGAAAATGGATTGCATCTTCAGAGTGGCAGGGGACAGAGGGACAGGCACAGCAGGTTGAAAGCATAAAAGCATATTCTCATAAGAACTAAGCAATCCTTGTTGTTGGAGGACCAAATAGAATCATCATTAATGTAAGTAGAATCAAAGTTCACGATCTGTAATTCCTTCTTAAGATATGCATGATTCAGCTTATTTACAGTTCGAGCAAAGGAATATTTAGAAGCACAACTATATGCTTCCAAACTGTACACTTTCTTGAAGTGCAGGTCAAAAAATGGATTGTCCTAGAAGAGAAAGAGAAACATGATTTTGTTTGTAGTCAAGAAAAGAACTAGATTTCCTAGATTCTCTCAGATTTTTTGTATATGCTTCTTTATTATAAAGAATTAGTACCAAACATATTTCTAAAATCTACACATGAGCTTTCCCAAAGCTACCTAACCTACTTCAAACATATTGCTTCTAAGACAATCATAAAGATTATTTATGAAGCATCTGTAACTTTTCAGTTATACAAATAGACTATGTCTCAGAATGTGTAGTTATCTATCAACTCTTGCCAGGGTAGTGAGTTTGAGAAGATGGATAGGAATGAAAAAAGAATAAATTCACTTATAGACTTCTGGAGGGGAGAAAATGTTTCTCCTTTTCTCTACTAGGAGATGGGTTCCTTTTGCTATTTCAAAAGTAGAAGGGTGAAATACAGGATGGCTAATTAGCTTGTGGCATACGACAGATCGCCAACTTGCTGACTTTGAAGTCAATAACAAAGTACTACCTTTGAAGTTAGTAATAGGGTCATTAAATCATTGGACTGAAACAGAAAAAAATTACTTATGGCTGCCTCTTGGCTTTTTGGATTTCTCTAGGCTTTTGTTATATTTCTAGTGAAGGTGTTTTGAGAAAAAGCAGGCATCAAATCTAATCTAAGTCTTGTAGGTTAAAATAATACTTGCTACCATTACTAATAACAGTAAAAACAATGCCTTGCATTTATAAAGTGCTTTTTAGTTTATCAAATGCTTTCACATTTATTATCTGCCTAACTCCTAATTCTCCTTGAGAGCAGAAGGTTTGAATTATTTATCTTTGTGTTCATGGCAACTACTAGGTTCTCAACAAGTTCATGTTGAACTGATCGTAGGTAGTTCCATAAAAAAGTAGTGGAGGTAAACATTACCCTTTAACTGACAAGGAGGCAAAGAGAGACCAAACAAGAGTCTGAATAATTTGTTACTATGTAAACATTATATGAGACTTAGGTATTTGCAAGTTCTTTTGGTTAAAAAATATTTTTATTGATTTCAGAGAGGAAGGGAGAGGGAGAGTGTTAGAAACATCAATGATGAGAGTGAATCATTAATTGGCTGTCTCCTGCATGCCTCACACTGGGGATTGAGTCCATGACCCCGGCAGTGCTCTGAATCAAACCTTGACACCCAGGTTCATACATAGGTCGACGCTCAACCACTGAGCCATGCTAGCTGAGCTGCAATTTCTCTTTTAAAAAGGGACATTCTTGAATGAGGCAGGAAAAACAAGATGGGTTTTGAAGTTAAACTACCATTTTGAATCTCCAATGTAACCACGGACAAAGTGCTTATGTGATGTGACTCTCACTTTTCTTCTCCTTTTTGAGAGGTTTGCTCTGAAATTTGCATGCATAGTATGGAGCTTAATAAATGATAGTTCCTTTCCCAAATCTGTCCCCAATGAGATTGTGATGCTGGTGTTAATACCACCTTGCTTCATACCATTAACAAAATTTAAAGCGACATTAAAAAAAAATGTACATGGTGATGTTAAGTGTAGTGTTCCCCTAGTCACATCTTGTAAATTTTCCCCAGGTGTCATAGTTATAGTAGAGAATCTCAATAAAAGGAAATCATATCCATTCTATTACCAAATACTAATCACATGCCTTATATAGTTTATTCATTGAAACAGTTGAGTCTTATCATGGAGAAAACATACCTAATGCTTTTGAGATATTTGGAGAGGATTTTTTTCCTTTAGCCTAAAAATTGAAGCCTAAGCAGGCATGCACATAGAATACAAGTCCTTCCTTCCTCCCCTCCCTCCCACCCTCTCTTCCTTCTTTTTCTGGGTAATGATTTGAGAGTATGGGTAGTGATGAAAGAAGATACAACTACTTACAGACTTCTGGAGGGGAGAAAAGATTTTCTCCTTTACTTCTTGGTGCCAAATACAACAAATTTTAAAAAATAAGATTCCCCCTCCTTCCCACCCTTTCTTATTTTTACCCTTTCTCCTTCTCTTCTTTCTACACACTCTACCTCTCTCATCACTTCTCTCTTTACCTCCCTCCTTTCCTTACACCCCCTCCTTCCCTCTTTCTTGACAGAATCCTAGAACTAAAAGGGACCTCATATATCACTCAGTAATCTTTTGTTTGTAGCTTGGATAATAGTTTCCTGAGAAGTGAAGCCCAGGTCACACATGAAGTTATTGGTAGAGCCAGAACAAGAACCAAGATCTTAGTTAACCCAATCTCATTTTTTTTTTTTTGCTACATCATTCTCTCTCCTATTGCACCATGTCAGTCTCCAAATCCCCAGACATTTTGATGTCTGCATTATAAATTGACTCCCATTTTAATTCCATTCCTTTTTAAAGCTGACAACTCTCTGGCTCAAATTGCTCTATTTAAAACTGTATCACTGATATTGAAAAAAATATAAACGCTGACTCTTAAGTATTCAATTTTAAGAGGAAGGAGAGTGGAAATTCCCAGAGCAACTGGGATATTTTTATTTCATCCATAGAAAATAAATCTTTAAAAGAACTACTCTTTGGATTTAATAGGTTTTCTTCCAGCAATTTAATGTTTTTGGTCCTAAAGTTAATAGAAAAATAGAAATAGTCAACTTTTAAAAATATATCTATTTCACTGTCAAATATAATGATCTTCAAAGGGGAAAGAGAAGAATCAACATTGTCTGTAAGGAATTAAAGGTCAGAAATGTGTGTAAAATATTCCAGCATATTGATTGATATGCAATAATATATATTTAACTATTTCCTAATTATTTCTTAACATTTATGTAGAATGTATTATCAGAAAAATGCTGTATGGTATTTAGGAAAGAAGCAATGAAATCCTGCATGCTTTTACCAAGAAGTCATGCTAAACATGGCAAATTTTAAATATAAGATTCCTAGGTGATAAGTCATGATAATAGCAGATAGTATACAGTATATTGATTTCAGAAATGTCTTAAGGACACAATTAAGGCATTCAGACTAAATAATGAAGTAAGTATGGCAGAATTAAGGGCTTATGTGTGTCTAATTCTCTATGTGTAGCCTCAGAGCCTGGCAAGGCTTAATATATACCATAAATTCTCAATGAATGAGAGAATGTATTTGAATTTGTAGAGATGTTAAATAAGCAATCAAAACAAGACAAATTAACCGATTTCTGGGTAAAGTCTAGCTCTACTAATTAATAGCTATGTAACCTTGGCAAGTCAGTTAATCTCTTTAGGTATCATTTTTCTCCTTGGAAAATCAAAAGTAATAATAGAATGTAACTTATTGGGTTTTGTGATGATTATGTGGTACTTGATAAGAGTTTGCTAAGTGTGAATGGTAGCAGTACTATTCATAATAGTAGTAGTAGTAATGATAACTTATCAATTACCTAGAAGTATTCACTTAGCCCTTCCTGCTTCATCATTTTTATTATTGACTTGAATGAAGTCCTAAGTGTTGTGCTCATTACATCTGCATCATATTACAGAGAATATTTTAAAAATTATAATATTAGAAGATTTGATAGATGGGAAAAATAAGCCAGACTAAGAATATGGCATGTAGTAGGATTAGGAATAGATGAGTTTAAATTCTAATTCATCCATCAATAATACAGATAGTTACTGACTGCCTAATATGTCAGGTTGAAGGCTATAGTAAAAGATGAAAAGTCATTGTCCCAGTTTTTTAGAAGCTTTCCATCCAGAGACAGAAAGAGGCAACAATTGCAGTTTGTCAGATTATGGCTATAACACACTTATACCCACAATTCAATGGGGGAGACACGAGTAGGACTTTACCCAATGAATCTGGGGAGGGGATGAGAGATAGAGGCAATTGGGCATTCTAAGCCTTGAGAGGCAGTAGTGAAGCACAGTGGATTATAAAGTTTAAGATAGGATGACCAGAGAGAAAGAAGTCAGATCGCTAAGGACCTTCATTTAGATTTTATTCTATGTAAGTAGAGAGTATGGCAAGCCAGATTAAATGGCAATTCATGCACAAAAGACCCAAGGTTTCAAATAACTATTTAATAGAAATAAGAAATGCATGTCAAAAAAAATATAAACTAGTCACCCTAAGTCTAAAGTATTGCATTTAATTCTGGAAAAACAGAAGCATTTCAAAAGAGAGAGAATAGTGTAGTGAAGGATATTGAAGCAATGCCATGGAAACAAGTAACACTAATGGTATTACCTCTGAGTGTTTACAATGTCCTGTCATATTGGCTTATGTGATCTTTATTTGAAAGTGATTTAAAGAATAACCTGGAAAAGAGAAAACTTGAGGGAACATTATAATCAACCCCAAGTATTGGAAAGGCTGCTATATGAAAGGAGGATTGGATTTGTTCTGAATTGCTCCAAATGGCAAAACTAGAACTGACAGGTAAAGATTAAACATAAATAGGAAATTTAAAAATAAAGCATGTCAATGCAGAAATAGAATGGACTTCCTCATGTGGTATTAAGTTCTCCATCAGTAAAAGAGTACAAAGGAGACTAGGAAAACCACTTTTCCAAGAATTACTACTGACAGAGAGTTTGAAGAAGATGAGGGAAGGAATCCCCTAAACATATGGTGGAAGTTGAGGGAGAGAGAGTGTGGTGGTGGAAGCACCATATATTTAACGTTTCTGAATTGGTTGATTGTGTTTAACCTGTTAAGAAGCCCTTGGGAAAGATGCTTTTAAACATAATAGACAAAATTCAAATTTAAACTCATAAAAACAAAACAAAAAGCCCCCAGTACATCATCCCTGTACATTACACTTTATGACTTAAGAACAATATGTCATCTTAACACTTAATTACATGCCAAGAATATGTGAAGTAGGCTTATCGATCCCACATCTCCCTTATAAAGTGTAACACTTACAGTATCTGCTTCTTTTCCATCAATCATCTGCAGATCACTCAAAGACCACTTTTTTGTTACTTCATATTTTTCATCTAAACCTATTCTGTAGTGTTTCACTATAATTATTTTCACTTCTTCATTTTTGGTCACTGTAGGACAGAAAAACAGTTTACAGTTTACATAAACTCTTAGAAGGTAAGTTATTCATCATTATACTTTTCAATATTTATATATTCCTTTTTCTTACAATGAGCTTAAACCTACATTATATCTGCACCCCACTTATGAATCCTGATGTATCTGAATCTTCGCAAGTATGCCCCCAAATTTGCTCTATGTGTTAACTTTATTCTTGCTACAATTGTGGTTACATACTGCACAATAATATCTGTCAGATAGAACACTGAGCTATGTGCTTTCAACTATTAGTCTTGTGGGGAATGGGGTTCAACTCAGGGCAGGAAATAAGAGGCTTAGCTTTCGCATATAGTCAGTGCCAAAGTGTTTACCAGAACAAGTTGGAATTTTAATTTACGGCAATATAAATAAGTGAAGTCAGGAAAGTAAACAGTTCTGCTCATATAGCAACACAGTGTTAAACAGTGACCAGGCAAATACTAATGTGTATGCTTTCTTTTAGAGTCACTGTGAGATTTTAAAAAAAATTATTGATTTTAGAGAAAGAGAAGGGGGGGGAGAGAGAGAGAGAGAGAGAGAGAGAGAGAGAGAGAGAGAGAGAGAGAAAGTAAGGCATTGATTTGTTGTTCTCTTATTTATGCATTCATTGGTTGATTCTTGTAGGTGCCCTGAGTGGGGATGAAACCCACAATCTTGGCATATAGGGACCACACTGTAACTAACTGCGCTACCCAGCCAGGACCAAAAGTTGCTGTGAAATTTTTTTTATATAGAAATGTTTGCATCACAGTTACTGTAGACCTATTTGAGATTTTGTAATCCTCTGTAATGCACCTTAAAATTCTAGTATTCAAAATGTGTCACTGAGACAAAAAGTTTCAGTACTATCCTTTGAAAAGTGTGGCAAAACCATTGCTTATTTTATGCGAACAAAATTAGGAAATAATTTCCTGGCCTTAAAATCATTGTCTTTGGTCTCACATGAACATACAGAAGAGTCCACATTTACTGTTAGCAAAACTGAATTGAAAATTAGTGGTGAGCTAATAAAAGAGTATTTATCTGATACAACTATTAGAGATGCCACAGCAGGTAAGCATGAGACATGGCCTCTGTCCTCCAGAAATTGATGGTTTTGTTGGGGAGGCAAAACTAACAAACACGAGTTACATAAAATCTATATTATAAAGGTGTATAGGTATATAGAAGTGGCAAAGTCAAATATCTTAAACTTGCTTTCAAGATGGATGATGTCACTTGGAACATTGTAAGCTGGTTTTGTCTTTTAAGCGTGAAACCGGAATCTGTCGTTAGGGAAGACTCTTGGTTCTAGATAGTACTACTTTGACCTGCCCTTCTAGTCGAGAATGTATAAGCCATTATATTATAATACTATCATAGGGATAGATATTCCTATTGGAATATGTGATGTGGAGCAGACAGGAGTTCTGAGAAGGGAGAGACTTAGAATAGTTAAGGTAGGAATTATGAAATAAATACCATTTGAATTAGAGCTTTAAAATTAGTTCAATTTGGAAAGGTGGGGATGATACTGAGGGCATTTATAGGTGAAGGTAGCAGGAGGAAATGAATGAAAAACAGAAGTGGAACTGCGCCAGGCAGAATTAGAGAAAGTGAACAACATGGCTGATGTTAGGATGTGGTGGACAATCAGATTAACTAGGTTAAGAAGGTTGTGAAAATGTTTTGAAAGACTCTGGGTCTGAAAAGTGACAGGAAACACTGTAGACTTGTGGTGTCTGACTCCTGTTCTGGGAAGAGGCTGGCCTGGACAGTGAGGGCTCCAGCACTGGGGCTGGCGAAGGAGTAATTGTTCTCTGAAGGTGCAGGTGTAGTGCTGCTAAGGCAACCAGTTGAGCTTAAAGTTGATGATGGGGCTCAGTTCAGTCCTCCGGAGAGATGAGTCTGAGAAGGTTGACATATCTAAGAAGAGGGAGCTATGTCAGGTGATACAGAGGATATGGTGAAGAAGAAAAGCGATAGGAACTAGAGATCCCTGGGACAGGCAGTGTGATTTAATGGACTCTGGCATTAGACAGTCTGGATGCAGATCATGACATCACTTCTTACAGTGTGGTCTGAGTAAATTACTTAATCTCTAGAAAGATTAAAACTCAGTTTTCTTTTTTTAAAAAAAAATATATTTTATTGATTTTTTACAGAGAGGAAGGGAGAAGGATAGAGAGTTAGAAACATTGATGAGAGAGAATCATCAATCAGCTGCCTCTTGCACACTCCCTACTGAGGATGTGCCTGAAACCCAGGTACATGCCCTTGACTGGAATTGAACCCAAGGGGACCCTTCAGTATGCAGGCCGACGCTCTATCCACTGAGCCAAACCGGTTTCGGCTAAAACTCAGTTTTCTTAGGTAGAAACTAGCCAGACATTAGGAACCCATAGGGTATAAAGATAAAAGATCAAGTATCTAAATGACTTAGGGCAGTACCTGGTATATAGTAATTATTCATTTTGTTTCTTTATTATTATTATTATTATTTTAAAAAATATTTTTAAACTTTTTTTTACAGAGAGGAAGGAAGAGGGATAGAGAGTTAGAAATGTCGATGAGAATCATCGACTAGCTGCCTCCTGCACACCCTCCACTGGGGATGTGCCCTCAACCAATGTACATGTTCTTGACCGGAATCAAACCTGGGATCTTTCAGTCCGCAGACCAACGCTCTATTCACTGATAGAGACTATTGTAACATAGGCATAGGATGTGGGCTGTGGAAATAGAAGTGGTAAATCCAGGTAAGATTTCAAATGAGGCATTGATGACCATTCATGGAAATCAAAACAGGAAGGTATGGAGGTGAACTGGTTGAATGGAATTGTGATTTACTTCCGAAGAGAAGGAGATGGAAGTTTATAATTTAAGAATGGGGATATGGACTTGAGATTTTTTTTTTTTTTTTTCTGTGCGGAAAGGTTTGCAAGACCAGGTGTGTAAGAAAAAGAGCAGAAGAAAGAGGCAGACAGAGTGGAGTAGAAAAACATGCCAGCAGAAAAGAGACAAACCTAACAGCACAATGATATCGAAATTGAGAGATTAGAATTTCAAAGACTTGGAGATAATCCTGTGAAGTCACTTTGTTGGGTAAAGCCAGAGTTCAGTCCAGGCACTGTATCTGACTTGGGGAGCATCATTGACTTCCTCCCTAAGAGCAATTTCTCTAGAACAGTGAAGGTAGAAGACAGCTAGAGTGTCGTCAAAAAAGAAATAAAAAGAGACTAAAGGTTGTGATTTGCCATGTTCCATGGGTAGATCACATGGTAGATAATATGTTCCAAGAGTTTGGAAGAGGAGGTATTGCATATTCAAGAGACAAAGACACTAATTGAGGGCCATGACCTAGAGGAGACCTAGAGCAGAAGATCTTAACCAGGAGTTAAGAAATAGCTCAGAATTCTAAAACTGTGTGCAAAAGATGATAGGTTCCTGCCCATGTACATGTCTCCAGCCCTAAAAAAGGTTCGTTTGTAGACAAACAAGGCACTTGTGTCTGTCCAGACAAAGGCTCTATCTCAGAACCAGAGGACAATGTTCTCGTTCTGCTTGCTGTCTCACTCACTACTTAGGGGGTGGGAGAGGGTGGGGATGGAGGGACAAAACAGGATACTATATGAACATGTAATTTAAAACTAATTTCACTGCCTCATCCTCAAGTTATGATAATCAGCTAATTGATCATAGACACACTGATTCATTAATTTGATAAATGTCTGAGTGCCCTTGTGAATAAAGCCATGAGCTAAACACTAAACTAATGAATTCCCATAAGGCATCATTCCTGAGATTACAGGGAGTGGGGCTTCACACACACACAAAAATAATAATACATGATCTTATAACTTTGTAAATGATATAAATGTTTAACCACGACGCTATACATCTGAAACTAATATAAAAAATTTTAAAACTTGAATCGGGCCAGTGGATTAGTTGATAGTAACAGGTTAATGCTAATTTCCTGATTGTGATGGTTGTATTGTGATTGTGTGGGATAGCGATTTTCAACCGGTGTGCCATAGGAATTTTTTAAACACACAATACCTGACTATTTAATCAGGGACATTGACCTCTTTTCCCTTAGATTGTCAAATTAAAAAAGGACAACAGCCATCACAACAATAGCCATTCAATGTGAATGAATCAAAATGATACCCATTATTTTTGTGTGCAGGATCAAAAAAATATAATCTGTTCTTTGGTGTGCCACTGAATTTTAGTAATCAGTTTATGTGTGCCATGAGAAGAAAATGGTTGGAAATTGCTGATGTAGAAGTGTGCCTTTGCATGTTATTGCAATAATATACTAGTGTGGGCACTGGGTCATCATGTTGGCAATTTACTCTCAACTGTTTGAAGAAGAAAGTTATTTGTACAACTCTTATCGTTGCAACTCTTTAGTAAGTATGGGATTACTTCCAAATAAAAAGAAAAATTATGATTTTAAAAATAAAACACATGATCACAGTGCTGGGAATGAGGCAAGGACAGGAAAAGGGTCCCCTTCATCCATCTGGTGGTCGGGGAGAGCTTCCTGAAGGAGGTCCGCTGAGTTGTAAAGGGCAGGGGGAGTTACAATGAAGAAAGGATAAAGGAAGCTCTGGAACAACGTATACAAAAGCATGAAATACTTGACACTTTTTAGTAATTGCAGGTATTTGGTATGTTGGATTGAAGTGTGAGGGTGACTAGGTGGTATAAAGGACAGAAAGGAGCAAGTTAGTCTAGAATGCTAGGTGAAGGAGTTCAAATGTTACCCTGAAAGCTATGTGTTTGTGGGGACTTAGGGCGAGTGTTGTCACTAAAGGATTTTAAGTGAATAGATAGGAAGAGCTTTAAATTTTAGAAAGTTTTTTTTTTTTTTTTTTTTTTTTGTAATTCTATAAAGTATTGGTTGGAGGGAGAGAATGGAGAAAGAGATGTTAAGAAGGTAGAATCTACCAGTTAACAAGTTTTCTTATACTTAATGGTCACTGTCCCACTAACACCAAACTAAGAAAATGAGAAGATGCTTTAAGTGTAAGCTTTTGGTACAATGATGCAGCACAGAGACAAATTATGCCTCCTTAATTTGGCAAAATATCCTCCTCTAGAGCCAACGAGGCTCCAAGATTGTCCTCAGCCAAGAGTCAAAGAAGTCTACTCATGCTGGACTGGACCCAACCCCTAATTCCCACACTTGAGCTGTGCTGCCAGCCAAAATTAAATGGCCATATCCACATTAATGGAGTGGGAAAGTGGAAACTCATCACATTGTCTTAAAACAGAAATGTGTTTATATAGTCAAATGCTAGAGAGTTGGTTTCAGGAACATCAGAGGTGACATTGAGTAATTACTACTTAGTGAGTAATATCTATAGACTTAGGAAAATTCAGAATGAACCAGCTCCAGTTTTAATATGTTAGTTAGCATTTTCAGAATTACAATTTTAAATTAGGTCCGCCATATATTTTCACTTTTGATTTCAAAATAAACATTATCATTAATAACTGCCTCTATTATCATGTTAAAATAGTCACTGCTATTTATGAAGCTAAATGGAAAGAACCTAGGCCAATTGAACAAATGGAATTTGTCAGAATGAAGGAAAAAGTAGCTCATGAGGAAGCTGCACAGCAACACTTTAAATAAACAAATGACTTATTTTACAACCTTAGTGTTATATAATTGTTTCCATCATTGAAATTAAATAATAGGGGAAAACTACCATGAGTTATCAAAGACAAGCAGCTTCGTTGAAAATGTTTCAATGTATTGATGATGTCTTAGGGTCATTGAGGATGCTATTATTGATTTCATCAAAAAAGCGATTTTCATATAACATTTTTTCTAGAAATATTTTAAAAAATCAATTTTGGAACTAAACTGGGTACTACCGATTGAATGTGTGTGTCCCCCATCACCAAATTCATATGCTGACATCCCAAACCCCAAGGTGATGGTATTAGGAGGTGAGGCCTTTGGAAGGTTAAGTCATGAGGGCAAAGCCCTCTTAAGTGGCATTAGTGCACTTATAAGAAGATGTGAGACCATGCAAGGCTACAGGAAGAGGATGGCTGTCTATAGGAAGTGAGTCCTTACCAGACAGGGAAACTGCCAATGCCATGATCTTAGGCTTTTCAGTCTGCAGACTGGGAGAAATAACTGTTTGTTGTCTAAATACTCAGCCTCTAGTATTTTCTTTTTCTTCTTAACTTATTCTTTTAAAAATACCCTTATTGTACTATTCTTATTATAAACTTGAGGCCTGATGCACAAAATTCATGCAAGAGTAGGCCTTCGTTTGCCCAGCTGCCAGCACCGGCTTCCCTCTGGCACCCGGATCCGGGCTTCGCTTGCAGCTCTAGCTTTCATCCGGAAGATTGTCCAGAAGGACGTCCAGTCTAATTAGCATGTTACACTTTTATTATTATAGATGATTTAACAAAATTGTTAGATTCTCTGGTTCCCAGAGAAGTAGTCCTCCTGTTCTGGCATCATAATGTAATATGGGTGGGGAATTTATGCATACTATTTTCATAATTCTAGTAAATGCCAAGTTAATGTATACAAATGAAAAATGTCTTTCTAAGTATATAAAAATACTTAAAAATAGTCTATCATGTTTGTTTTTCCCATTTTATATGGGTATAATTTTTATTTATAAAATGTATAATTTAATATATAATGTTTTTCTTTTTAAAAATGTATTTTATTGATTTTTTACAGAGAGAAAGGGAGAAAGATAGAGAGCTAGAAACATTGATGAGAGAGAAATATCTATCAGCTGCCTCCTGCACACCCCCTACTGGGGGTGTGCCCGCAACAAGGTACAAGCCCTTTACCGGAATCGAACCTGGGACCCTTGAGTCCGCAGGCCAATGATCTATCTATCCATTGAGCCAAACCTGTTAGGGCGATAATTTCTTTATTACATATTAAATATATGCACTTATTATATATGTATTTTATTACAGTATATTTTATTTTTATTATACTTATCTACAGTATATTTATATATTTCAGCATATGTTTTCCCAGTAAATAGATTTTTTTCTATATATTTAAAAAATATAACCCAACTTTTTATTTTATTTATTTGGAAAATAATTTATCATGTTTGTTTTTTCCTACTTAGGACTTAACAGGAGAGCACTATTAGTATGTGTGATGTAAGTGTTATTATTTCCATTTCAGAGATGTCTGAGGCCAGAGAGGTTAATTATTTTGTCCCTAATTTCAAACAGGCAGGTAGAACCCACTTTCACATCAGTTCTGTCTGATTCCCAGCCTTCCCAAGGTTCATTGCACCATGCCCTGCTGCTTTCCACTTAATTATGGTTAATGTTTTATATGCCATTTCAAGGCCTCCAGAATTTCTTTGATTCATTTGTACTCTCCCTTCTAAGTGCCCACACATAATAGAACTCCTATCTCCTTCATAAGGTGCTGCTTTTAACTGCCAGGGAAAATGATGTTCTAAACTGGGGAAAGCTATTCTTGAGGACAAATAACCATCAGACCCTGAGGTGGGAGGGTACTAAGATGCCAAGAAATCCTCAATGTAAATCCCAGCAAAGTACAGAGGGGATGATTGAACGTATGGTAATCTGCTTTTTTTACATCCACCAGGTAATGTATCAAAATAGCAGCCAATCACATGCATCTGGTTGTGAGACCCCTACAAGTGACAGACTTCGATCAGCTAAGCAGAAAATTTAACTTATTTAAACATATCTTCTTTAAATTTTGAAAATTACATGGTAGGATTTGACTAGTCCAGTCGTGCAATTCTTAAAAAGTTAGACCTGCTGGATTGTAGGGTATAAAAGGAAATCATAAGTATACATCTCTCTACTCCCTGGAGGTGACGAGCGTTCAATATCTGGAGTTACTTGCCTCAACAATTGTGATCTGACCTGTTTGATTCACATCAATGGCAATTTTCTGCGTGAAGCATGGTCAAAGATTTAGGACTGTCAAGCATCGCATTGATTTTGCCTTAAATTACTGTTCTGTCTTAATGTATTTGAAATGGTCATAAAGAGATGTTGATGTTACATTTGGGGAAAGTGCTTTCAAATTGATGAATGTGAAGTAGATCAGAGTTGTGAAAAGTTAGTGAGCTAACATGATTTATAATCTTAACTTTTCTCTGGAATATCACAATATTGTCTTCTTTTCCTCATATCTGAGAGGACCTTGTTTTTCCTTGTTTCTTACATGACAGGATCATTGGATTTTACCTACTTCATTTGGTCATTTTCCAGATGAGAATATTGACCCTAAAAGGAGTTGCCTTCAGACATGTTAATAATACGAACTCCTTGACCTTCCAATTCTACTTAAAAGTTTCATATCATTTATGAAAAAAGGCAGCAGGTGACCCCAGCTCATAGTGTCTTTCTCAGAGCTCAAGGATGCTGGGAGGGGCGGTGAAATCACAACCATAGCCAAAAATGTAATTTGAGACTTTTTTTTTTTTCTTAGAAGAAGTTTAGTTAATTATATAGTTGGAAACGGGCATTAAGATAAGTTTGATAACTTAGATATATACATTATTGCAATTATTTTAAAAAGTTTTTCTTTAAAAATACTTGTATACTAATGTTACATGATGGGTAATTAGCTTTATAAAGTAGAATCTCAATAGGTATGAAATTATTAAATGTTAATGTTGGAATAAGTATATTTCTAACATTAAGTCAAAATAATTTACCATTTGATGGTTAGGATACAATACAGTTTCTAAAATGGTACCATTTCTTTCGGTACTTTGATTTCTTTTCCTGGGCCTGTTAAGCTCTTTACCTTGCTAAAATGCAAAAAATCCCCACATTTTGTACTTATATATAGCAAAACATGCTAGGTAAAGTGTTAGATGTATATGCATATTCCACTTTCAATTATTGAGTGAATATTATACTTACTAGAATTAACGGAATTCTTAACACTTTAAAAAAGATGTTTTACTCCCTTTAGAGTACTCTCTTTTGATATCATTAGAAAGTTCTTCTAAGCCAATTATCTGGAAGGGGATGATAAGTTGTTTTCTGAAAATGCTGAGGTGTGTGCCTTACAAAGGGAAGTTTGCAGTGAACACTTAGAGTTTCTAAGCTCTTCACTCCTAAGCCCCTGGAAAGTATTAAAAGGCATGGGCTGGGGAAAGGTAATGCTGTACATTACATGCAATAATGGCTCAAGTATTTCTGTCTAAACTCAGCACAGAAATTACTGGTTAGGCAAATCATACTCACGTGCAAAGGCCTATTTCTACCTTAGGACAATTTTCATGAATTTTAAAACCACAGAGAAAATATTTTAGTTAAATAGTTTAGAGGAAGTAAAAGTTCCATCTTCATGAGCTAATTTCTACCATTAAAGTATTATTTCTGTGAGCATTATTTCTATTTCTACTTCCTAGAAGAGAAAACATTTTAGAGATAGTTCTCTATTAAAAATAAGCCCTCAGAAGAAAACCCAAGATCTTTTTTCTTTCCTAGCATGCTAAGAGAGAGCCCTAGTTGTCCAGACTCGGAGATGGATTTGTATAACACCATTCTCCAACGTATTTGAAATATACAGAGAGCTCTCCTTTGCATTTTTAAAAACTGCATGCCATGCAAGTGAATTACATGAAAGACTGGAAACAAAGTAATAAAATCAGGAAAACTACATACCCACTTTCACTTCTGAACAATTGGCCAAAATATTCTTATTACAGTACTCTCTTCTGTCTTCCATTTTAGCACTTACAAAATTCTGTAGAGTCCAAATTTTTAAACTGAGCGTAATTAAGTGCTATCACGAAAAGATACACGTGCTGTGATTGTATAGGAAAACAAATCCAAAATATCACCCAAGCATCTTGGGGTTCATTACGTACAAAAGTGGTAACAGAAAAAACACATTACCTGACACACAGAGGTAGTACCTGTCGTGGACCGAGAGCTCTATTTGGATGAACTCGTACAGATTCTGCGAGAGCGGCTTAAACAGTTTCTTCTCCAAGTCCTCCTTGACGAGGGATGACATTTCCTCCAGTTCCCCTTGGCCTGATATCTTGGCTCAGACTCACCCCTTCTCTCCTTTTGCTGCCTGGATTCCTCGTTTTGGTTTGCAGCTCCTCAGTGAGCCCTGCCCACCTCCCAGCTCCCACCCTCTTCACATCTCCTTCCCGGCCAGACCCAGGCTCCCAGAGCACTCAGGCGGTCAGACCCCTCGCTGCGCTGCGGTATCTGCTCAGCGGCAGCAGCAGTACAAGCAGCAGCAGCCAAAATACAGCAGCAGCACTGGCCCCACCGTCACTCCTCAGCATCCAGGCTCAGGCAGGCTGCTCTCTGGAGCTCTCCTGTGGTTTGTTGACGTGGAACACATTTATGAGCACCGGCAGAGAGACTTGTGGAGTCCCTGGTTACTCCTTTGCCCCTTCCCCATGACTGTGCAGGGGAAGCCCACTGCCTCAGCTTGATTCTGTGATTGATATACATCAGCTGTCTGGCTCTATCCATGGGGATCATCTTCCATTGAGAACTTGGTAATCACCGGCAAGAGAAAGAGCGCCCGTGTTTGCTCCTGACACTTCCAATTCTCTTTCCCTCCTTTCTTTCCCCTCTGGCAACTCATTTAGACTTTTGTGCCTTTTTTTTTTTTTTTTTTTTTTTTTGAGAGAGAGAGAGAGAGAGAGAGAGAGAGAGAGAGAGAGAGAGAGAGAGAGAGACAGCACCAATTCCTCAATTCAAACAGTTTTTTAAATGGGCTCACTTTAATGTTGTTTATTTCCCCACTCACAAAGAAAAATTTACTAGGTACTTACTGGGGAAAAGCATTATAGTTGCTTCTTGGGAGCGTGGTTTCCTCTCCTCAAGGAGAGCGTATAATCTAATAGAGAGGAGCACCCAATGATCACAGATGCTTACAGTGACAAATGGCACATAGGAGAAGGGAACATAGAAAAGATGCTTGTACCTGGAAAGCACCAGAGGAATGTTCTCTGGGAGAAGAGCTGGAGCTTGCAGAATGCAAGAAAGTATGGAGGCGGGGGAGCGGGCAGATTCGGTGGAAGGAACATTGTCAGCCAAAGCCCGGGCCGGCAGAGCACAGGGAGTGTTTGGGAGGACAGGAAACGTTTTCCTAAATTGTAGCATGTGTGAAGGCAGATAAGGCCAGAAAGATGAATTGGGGCCAGATCATGAGGGGCCCGGCATGCCAGATTGATCCTTTGGACTTTATTCTGTAGAAGTAGAGCCAGGAATGATTTGGGGAGTATTCATTTACTCAACAAATACTTTTCAAGGGTTGAGTCTAGGAACTGGGAATATGGGGGGGAGGGGAGAGCGGTAGGGGGGCTAGAACAATTAATTGCTCCTGTGGAGCTTAGTGAGGTAGAAAGAAGGTAAAGAGATAAACAAAGCACTAGTCCATTCGAGGGCCACTCAGTTGTAGACAACAGAATACCTGACGTAAAGTTGTGAATAGAAAAGACTTTAAACAATCTCTCCTGATAAAAGGTCTGCAAGAAGGTGGCCCAGGGTTAGCTCAGAATGAGGGCCTCCAGTGCTTTCCATTCTGTTCAGCCTCCATTCTCAGAAGTTGGCTTTCCGTCCTCAGGCTGTGGCTGTTCAGCTCCAGACAGGAGGAAGCGGCTGCGAGTGAGGAATGGCTCTACTTGACTTCCCTCTTTGTCAGAAGCAAAATGGTTCCCAGAAACCAGGCGGCAGACTGGCCTTTACATCTCAGTGCCCAGGAAAGCAAGAATTTGACAATTTTGACTCCTCGCAAGGGAAAGGGGGTTTTCTAACTTGGACAAAGGGGGATGGGAACGACTGTAAGGAGGAAACCAATGGCGTCTTCCATGGCTGCCCTGAGGACAGCTAAATGGTATGTCTGTGGCCAGGCTAAGTTGTGGAGTCCTGGGTGAGACATGTGCTTTCTGAGCCTCGGCTCATCTGAAGAATGATTTCCAATGCCTTTTCCCACGTCAGTATTCTCCTGTTCTGTCTGTGACTTTGGAACTCCATTAAAATGATTTGGGCAAAAGGACCAGAGAACTAGAACTGTGCTTTTGGATATGAAAATGGGAAAGAGTAGGTGGATCAGACCCACAACTGAGACATGTGCCCTGACTGGGAATAAAACCCATGACCTCTTGATGCACAAAATGATGCTCCAAGCAACTGGGCCACACTGGCCAGGGCACAAGGGAGGAATTTTTAATATCTACTGTTTCACTAGTGAGGCCCAGCTCAATCTACCATCCTGGGCAAAGTATTGAAGCAGGTGTCTGTGTTGAGATAGCCCAGCTGGTGTACATACAGGGCGTCAAAGTCCTCAGAAGAAAAGACTTCCCTGCATATAAGACTCATATCTGAGGAACTAAAGCCTGAATTCTAACAGACCCACAACTAGAGGAGTGGACTATAATTTCTGAGTTTAAAAAGTAGTCCAGATCCATTTTATTTTTACTAATTTTTATGCCAGAGACTGAAGAACTTTTTTTTTTTTTTTTTTTTTAAATTTTCAGCTTGGGATCTTGCTTTAATCCCTTCCCAACCTAGTCTTGAAAAGTTTTACATTCTCATGCTACCACAGGATTATTTATTTGCTTAAAAACATCTGGGAGTAAGTGTCCTCTGAGCAACAGGATAATAGTGTGTGCATTTCATTCTCTCTTTTGCACATTCACAAATCCTAAGAGTGGTGGGCTTACACAGAGCTCGAGGCTAAGGCACTTAATGGGGCTCTGGGATTACAGAGTTGGCCTACTTGAGAGTCTGTTGAAGCAAAGTTCTTTTCAGGGCTTCTCAGTAGGTGCACAGGTGGGTAGCGGTGAATACTGTGAAAAGAGGCCAGGCCCTAACTTCTTTGTTCCAAAGCGCTTTTGCTTGAGCAAAAGACTGTGGTTGTGTATGCCCTCACACCCTATGTCCTGGAGAGGTCTCCAGGAGACAGGGAAAATACTATTTATCAGTGCTAACCAATGCTGGGCTCCATTGCTGGCCTCTGAAATAGACATTGTTTAATTTAATCTTCCAACAGAGCTAAGAGGTAGATCTATGATTGTCCCCATTTCCCCTCTGAGGAAACACAATTCTGTGGAAACAGGATAGCCTATCTTAAACCTCCACAATGTTCACATCTGTTCCACATTTATTGCTCTTACCTTTGGCAATATGTCTTTAGAGGAAAAATATTATTGTAACGAAATGTTTTTTTATCAATGAAGTCCTGAGCTTGATGCCACTTTATGTGTGATTATATAACATATAATACTATGTTGTATTTCTTAAAATTTTATTATAGGAATCTGGACAGTATTGGCATAAAAATATTTAATTTCTGTTGCACCTCTACATTCTGTTACTGTATCATGTTGTTGTTTGTTTAATCCAAGAAATATCTGTTCTTTAATCAAAGTGCTTCTTTGGTTCTAGTTCAGGAACATTGTGTGTGTGTGTGTGTGTGTGTGTGTGTGTGTGTGTGTGTGTGAATATGTACAATGAACCGAAGATTTGTGTGCTCCCAAATTCATATGTTGAAATTCTGCCCCCCCCCCCCATGCAGTGCATTAGAATATGGGGCTTTTGAGAGGTGACTAGGCCATGAGAGTAGAGCCCTCGTGAAAGGGATTAGTGCCTTATAAAAGAGCCCCCATGTGAGGACGCAGTGAAGGAACCAGCAAGCAGGTTTTCACGACACCGAGTCTGCTGGTGCCTGGGTCTTGGGCTTCTCAACTTCCGGAAGTGTGAGAAATAAGTATTTGTTGTTTAAGCCACCCAGTCCCAGGTATACTGTACAGCATCCCAAACCCATTAAGACAGTGTGTGTAAGTGTGTGTGTGGGATGATGTGGGATAAGTTGCAAATGGATGTACTTTGTGGGGTGTTTTCTCGTGTTGCCATTTGTTTTATTCTGGTTTTGGACACTCCAGACAGTCCCATAAGTCTGACTGCCGTAGGAGTTGTTAGAGAACTTCTTTTTGTGGCCTCTCCTCCCTGACACTGCAGCACTCAACGCGGAGGACTTGCTGAGATCCTTGGTATCTCAGGCTTCCATGTGTCACCAACAGCGCAGACTGCGTCCTGGCCAGGCTTCCGTGGTTCACGGTCAGTGCCAGAGTCCTCATTGTTGCTCTGAGTCAGCCAGGGAGGGGGAAGCTTTGCTTCGGAATATGCTAGCACCATTTAAAAACTCCGGAAAAGAAATTCAAAAAAGGACTCTATGAAAATGTAATTCTTTTGACAAATATATATATATACCAATCAGTTTTCAGGGAAGATTTTGTCTTTTTATACAATTTTATAAACATTTAAAGACAGGTTACAAAAAAAAGTTTGTATTTTCTCCTGTATGCTACAGAAGAACACCGAGAAGACTTTTTTTTTTTTTTTTTTCTATTCGGTCCATGGAATACACAATATATGTTCGATAAGAGGCTACTTTAATGTGTTAAGGTAAAAAAAATTTATTTCTATCAAGTGACCACCTTTGTCCATGCTAAAATATATATAGCAGCTAGGCAGATATTTTCAAGTAAATCTTTTTCTTATTTTGGAGATAAGTGGATTGCAAATTAATTATTGTTGAGAAACTCATAACTTGTTACATAACTGATAATAGCCAATTCATAATAAATGCTAATAGTTCTATGTACTTACTATAAGCCAGGCATATGTTAGCTCATTTAATCCTCCCAACAATCCTATGAGGTCGGTATTATGTTTTGCAAATTGCACATCTGAGTAAACTTGTGCCCAATGTCACATTGTGGTGGAGCTGATCTGAATGTAAGAAGTCTTGCTCTGTAATCTTGCTCTGTAATCTGTGCTTGGCCATCCTGCCTTGCTCCTATTTGACCGAGTAGTATTTCAAAACTTTGCATCAAAGTCATAAGCATATTTCTTAGGGCATTGTGATCTGTACAATGAGGTACCATATTCTTGTCTCAACATTTTTTCCAGTTATATCTTCATATTTAGACCTTTCAATTCTGTGGGTCCACAAAGATACCAGTAGTTGACAATTAGGAAGAATGA